TTAGTACTGGCATTATTTGCTATATACAGCAGCTGCAATTAAAAGCTTAAAAGCAGCTGTAACCAATAAGATTACAAAATGCAATTGCTTTAAAAATAGTTAGACGTTACAGGAATTTTATGATGTAAGCAAATGGGAACGTTTATCACTCTGAACGTGTGCTTTCCTTATTTCCTTAATTATACGTTCATCCTGTGGAATGCTCCCACGGCTGTGGGATGTTGTAAAGATAAGCTTAAGCTGAACCGCAGTGATGCTTCATCATCCTGATTTGACTGTGAGTCATGACTGCAGGGAGAGGATTCCCTTCCGTGCTCCATGAAGGAGCCACACAATGGGCAGTTCCATCTGACCTTTCATCACTCACTCCTTTACTCAGAAGGGAAAGTCTGTGAATGCCAGTCTGATGCTGTAATCAGGCCATTCTGTGTGGGGAGGTGCCTTGTTGGAGGAGGAATGACCACAGCCCGGGGGATTAATTAAAGATGTTTAACCCCCTGAGGTCCTGCGTCGGGCACTATCACTGCTCTGGTATAATGAAACCACCTTACTGATTATGATTGCAGTAAAACTGGTGTTCATGAATTACTGACCATCTTTCATTTATTTAATTTCCAGTCAAAACAGCTATTATGTACAAATTGTTAATTTTCCAAGAGAAAGTTCTATGGAGGTTAGATATATGACAATCCAGTTGCATAAGGAAAGGGAAAATATGAGGAAAATATGAGGAAAAACAGGAACTGGTGTTCAAAAATGTATTAAAAGATATAAAGACAATGAGACCTGGTAGAACACCAACACTGTCCCCATCAGATAAACAGTATTTTAAAGCTTTTATTTTTGAGAGAGAGAAGAAAATCAAGCTCAGATCTGAAAACATCCACAGGTGTTTCTGTCCATCCTTCCACTGTGAGAAGACGACTGTCAAGAAGGCTCAGTGAGAAAAGGAGACAGACAGTAAAACACCAGAATGGACATCCAAAATGGGCAGTTAGCTTTTATAGATAAACTGCTATTGAGTTATTATTGAATAAAAAACAACAGTTAATAATATGACAGAAGCTATAGGCACTTTTCACAAATATGCTTATCTTTTTAATGTAATATCTTATAGGTTAAGCTGCGAAACATAAACATTAATGATTCTAATACAAGGCTCTATTTCTTTTTCCACCACTGGAAGGTAAGTAAGAGATAGTAAAAGGCAATATGCAACACTCAGAGTGTGGAAACAGGAAGCTGAGCTGGAGCAGTGATTTCATTTCCATGCAGGCGTGTGTGTGGGAGGCCGTATCTCTCTGATAATGGAATCCCTGTATGTCCCGTTCTGTCCTACGGCCCTCATGGAGAAGCATAAGCTTTTTGTCATTAAAACCCTCTATGCTATCATGCAGGTTTGGAACCAAGTTTGCTGCAAATAAATGTATAAAATGATGCACAACTTCACGTTTCATATAATTAGAAGTAAACTGTAAATCATAAATCAATGTTAACGTGTTAAGAAGGGTGAACGAAGCTGTATGATTCAAAAATGACTGAGAAAGCTGTAAAATGTCAAGAATGAAGTCATAACATAATAAAACCAATAGTTCCAGTGTTCTAACAGATCTGACAGTGTTCCTAAGTAGGTTTTTTGGGGGGCCCGCATGTGTCTAGCCCCCCCCCCGACCTACACCTTGGTACTAAGTATATATTAGTTCCTAATTTATGAATCCTAACCTTGTTTATAGAACATTAACAAACCAGTTAGCTTGCAAGCTGATGTACTGTAACATTAGGAGCTGCCTAACAACAATGACTACCACAAACATTTCCAAAAAAGGTTGGGACGCTGTGCAAAATGTAAATAAAAACAAAATTCAATGATGTGCAAATCATTTAAACCCTATATTTCATTGCAAATACTACAAAGACAACAAATCAAATGTTGAAACTGAAAAATTTTATTGTTTTTTGAAAAATACATGCACATTTTGAATTTGATGCCAACAACATGTTCCAAAAAAGTTGGGACGGGGGCATTTTTACCACTGTGTTTCATCACCTCTTCTTTTAACAGCACTCTGTAAGCGTTTAGGAACTGAGGAGACACTGCTGTAGTTTTGAAATTGAAATGTTTTCCCATTTTCACTTAACATAGGATTTTAGCTGATCATCAGTTCAGGGTCTCCTTTGTCGTATTTTTCATTTTATAATGTGTCAAATGTTTTCAGCGGTGACAGATCTGGACTGCAGGCAGGTCAGATTAGCACCCAGACTCTTTTAATACAGTGCCATACTGTTGTAATACATGCAGAACGTGGTTTGACACTGTCTTGCTGAAATAATCAAGGCCTTCCCTGAAAAAGACGTCGTCTGGATGGCAGCATATGTTGCCAAAACATGTATATATTGTTCAGCATTAATGGTGCCTTCACAGATGTGCCAGTCACCTATGCAATAATGCTCTCCCAAACCATCATGAATACTGGCTTTTGATCTGTGCACCGATAACAAGCTGGGTGGTCTTTAGCCCGGAGGACACAGTGTCCATGATTTCCAAAAAGAAATTCAAATGTTGATTCGTCAGACCACAGGACACTTTTCCACTTCCTCCCGGTCCATTTTAAATGAGCTCAGGCCCAGAGAAGGTGGCGGTGTTTCTGGATCCTGTGTATATGTGTTTTCTTTTTTGTGTTTTAGAGTTTTAGCATTTGTAGATGCAGCGACAAACTGTTTTCACAGACAGTGTTTTTCAGAAGTGTTTCTGAGTCCATACAGTGATTTCCACTACAGAATCATGTCTGTTTTTAATGCAGTGCTGTCTGAGGGCCCAAAGATCACGGCCAGCAAATACGGGTTTTTGGCCTTGTCCCTTACATACAAAGATTTCTCCAGATTCTCTGAATCTTTTAATGATATTATTTACTGTAGATGATGAAAAGCAGAAGTTCTTTGTTATTTTACATTGAGAAACGTTATTCTTGTATTGTTGCACTGTTTGATCATGCAGTCTTTCACAGAGTGGTGAACCCCTCCTCATCTTTACTTCTGAAAGACTCCACCTCTCTGAGATGCACATTTTATGCCCAATCATGTTACTGACCTGCTGCCAATTAACCACCAGGTGTTTTTTTAAGCATTACACAACTTTACCCACCTTTTGTTGCCCCCGTCCCAACTTTTTTAGAATGTGTTGTTGGCATGAAATTCAAAATAGGCAAATATTTTTTTTATAATTTCTCAGTTTCAACATTTGATATGTTGTCTTTGTACTATTTTCAATGAAATATACACTGTAAAAATGTCTCATCAGATCGACCTAAAAAAATTACTTTATGTGGTAACAAGTAAATTAACTAGTTTTATACAACCTAAATAAATACTTTAAATGAACGATTTTTAAAGTAATTTTTTGAGTTGAATAAACTAGTTCAGCTGCTTGTTACCACATGAAATAATTTTTTTAGGTAGATCTGATGAGCCATTTTTACAGTGTAGGGTTTAAACGATTTGCACATCATTGCATTTTGTTTTTATATACATTTTGCACAGCGTCCCAGCTTTTTTGGAAATGGGGTTGTAAAATAAATAACTAAAACTTGTTTAATAGGTAGAGCCGGTTGCGGTCCCACCCAGCGAGCGGTCTTACCAAGCATGCGCACATCATTAGTATAGCGTTGTAACTTAGCTAGTGCTTCAAATGTTTTATTGTGTTCTTAATGTTAATTCAGTACAGATTCAGCTCATATTACTACTTACTCACTGATTAGATCATATAGGCTGTCAAAATATCCTACCTGTACATTTCAATGTAATATTTTCTGATAAGCTAATATCAAAATATCTTATCCATAGTTTCATGTACACTGTAAAAAATGATTCGCCAAACGTTTAATTATTTCTATTCAACTCAAAAAATTACATTGATTGAATCGTTCATTTAAAGTATTTATTTATGTTGAATGAAACTAGTTAATTTTTAAGGTTGATCTGACGAGCCATTTTTGGAGTGTGGAGCGCTACCTATAAATATGCACTACAGTATGATATTGACAAGGTAGGACAATTCGTCAAAACAACCGTCCTAAAATCTGATTGGCTGAGCCGCATTTGTAACCATTGGAAACACTGAATATGTGGGCACACCTATGACCATCTCATAACCACTTAATCTGAAAGACTGATTTTTGCCTTCTGTAAAGTTACTATTTTGGAGATGCTTATTATCCTTTGGACAGAGATGCTGTGCTGCACCCATTGCTGACACGGGCGTTCAATTGCACACGCACACAGCTTGTATAATCTCCATAGAAAAACATTTCCAATGGAACAGGATGATCTGGATCAGCAGCACATGAGCCTAAGATCACCATGTCCAGTGCCAAGCGTGGGCTAGAGGGGTATAAGGCCCCCCCAGCACTGGACTGCAGAGGAGTGTAAGTGCGTTCTCTGGAGTAGAGCTCCATCCAGTACCTTTGGGATGAGTTGGAGTGATCCAGAACTGACCATCCGACATCAGTACCTGACCTCACTAATGCTCAATCAAATCCTCACAGCAATGTTCCAACACCCAGCGTAAAGCAGAAGAGTAGAGTCTGTTGCTTCAGCAAAGAGGGGGCAAACTCCTTATTAATACCCTAAGCATCTTTTAGACATATCATGCATCATTTAATGTTGTTCCCAAAAAATGGCTGAAATATTGAATGAAACGTCTTAAAGATACCTTGAATATTTAAATCTACACTATACAAATTATTATTGGATATTAATATGACAAACCTTTGAATGGTAGCGTACAATGAAATGATCATCAAAGAACATAATCGCATATGCTTGTGCTTTATACCATCCACATATTAACATGCATTTAATATGTAGAAATATTTCAGCTATTGAAACATGCTAGATTTTTTTTATTTATAGCCATATATATAAAAGCATATCTCTTTTAAAAATATGAAAATCTAAATCGGGGGACAACTGTATGTAGGTATTGAGAAAACAGGACAGACACATAAGTTAAAGACTTTTTTATTGCGTCAAATTTTAATTGTAACAAATCCTGTGCGATGCGTCTCTTAATGCACCACACATTTGTCGTGTTTTCAAAAAAATACAATGACTAAAGCCACAAGGCCTCAGCTAGAAGGCCCGTAAACATGTTGAGGTGGACGCAAAAGTACAAATTATACATGATTATCTATAAATAAGATAGGCCCTACTGTACATCCTTACAGTAACATACTGCATATTGCATCATCAGAGCTGATCTGTGCATTTGAGATCAGAGTATGACATTAGCTGGCTTAAAAGCAGCGAAATAGACAGCTTAACATGTGTACAAACATTTCCGTGTAGTGGTTTACAGTCTGTATTTGTTCCAGCATGTTACTGAGCACCAACTCTTCATCAGAGAACCAGTGTTAGTGTTCATTCATGCTGTGCTTAAAGCAGTGATTCAGATGAATCGGCAAAATGTGGTGTCCGATGTTGCTTCTTTAGTTTTGGAGCTACAAGGCTTATGTAGTTAACAAGTCGATCTGAGATCACTTAACAGCTTAACACTGAGGTTAGCACAATGCTAACTGGTGGCTATAAGCATCCACTGCTTGTTAGCTACATTAGCCTTTATAGCTCCAATGCAAAATTAAGGAAGTCTCCAATGCCAAGCTTGTCTTGGGTGATTAGCAGCCATCATTTTAGAAATCCAGTCGATTATATTCCAGTTTTTGACTCGTTGTTGTTTGTGGATTCTTTCCGATGAGCCAGGAAGGGATACATGCATTTATCTGCACCAATGAAGCGGTACATGCACACGATAGCATCAAATGGCAAAACCCTGCAACAGACAGATAAGCATTTCTGTAATTAGAAACTAGTAATTTAGTTAAAGGTGGAAAAAAAAGACTTTTGCAAGAGGAAGGTAATATAAGGGAAATGGACAATACGTACGTTTTCATGAAGCTGACCACGTACATAGCACGTGGTGTGCAGACCATTGGCTGGTCAGTGAGAATGGCTCTCATAGCCTGTTCCACGCAATACTCGGGCTTCAGTGGGGGGAAGAAAGGTGCAATTTCTTTCCTGCACAAAGGTTAAAAACACGTTACTACCAACTCAAAACCTACAGCACAGCAGAAAAAACATTATCAATACAGTACCATTAAAATGTTTGAAATCTAGGAGTTTAAAAATGTATATATATATTTTTTTTATATGAAATTAACATTATCTGAAACTATTATATATAATCTCATGTAAATACAACAAATCTGTTTTATATGCTATGTAAATATGCAGATATACTTCTATTTCTACTCTTTCATACTTATGTCTAATTTTTTTATTTCTGCCTAATTTATGTCTATTTTTTGTCTATTTTGTAAGCTTACGTGCAATTATATGTCTTGCCACTGTAATGCTGAAATTTCCCTTCGAGATCAATAAACTTCTATCTAGCTATCTATATAAAATGTTTAATAGGCTTTTAGACTTCAAGTATCAAATAACCCAATTTTAAACGCTGTAATCATCTTGATAACCTGACAAATCGTTTATGCTACATATTGTTGTTACATTTATAATATTTAAACCCACATTTACCACATTATTATTGTATGTAAACAACAGAAATGATTAATATGACAAGTGATTCCCGACATTTGAATGGGCGTCTACATATAACATATAACTAAGTGGTGGATCTCCAGCACTAACATGTTACAAACCTGATTCTGCAGCCTTTGAACATGCCTGTGTCCACCAGGAATGGACAGACCAGGGTCATTTTAATCCCGTCTTTATTGGCCGCCTTTAACTCATGGCTCAAGGACTCGTGGAAGCCTATAGCACCAAACTTGCTTGCACAATAATCCTGTAACCAACATGAGAGAAGACTGTCTCAAACAACTGCACAGGATCAGATCTGGTATTACTACTGAAGGGGGGTGTAAAACAGCTCTGAAGAAGGTGATTTGGGAATTGGAGGGACGTGGATTACATACCTCCACGCCAGCCGTGGTGAACAGACCCAAGGAGCTGGCTACAGTTACAATATGCCCTTCATTTAACTCCAGCATCTTGGGAAGAAACGCCTTGGTGGTCTGTGAAGCACACAAGTGCATTAGCATACCTTTGTTGATCCGCATATTGACTGACTGAACCATTAAGCATCACTGTACATCTTTATATTCCTGCACATTAAAGCCCAACTGACCAATGTACTCACCCAGAAATGGGCATGGCAGTTGACCATCATAGTCCTTTCAATCAGTTCATCAGGACATTCGAGGAGATGGTGTCCGGAGACCACTCCGGCGTTATTGATGAGGAGGGCGACGTTGCCCACTTCTCTTCGCACCTTTTCTGCCGTTGAATACACACTCTCACGCTTGCTCACATCACACACATAGGTGTAAACCTGGGGCTGGAACAATGGCAAGTCTTGAACTCCATCTCCAGACCCTACAAACAGGGAAAGTATTAATTAACACTCTAAGTTAATTAAGACTAATGCAGGTTCCAAGCAGCTGCGTGACAATTGGTTATGTTAAACGCTCAGAGGGGTTTTTACCAAAGCAGAATTTCCTGGTTAGCAGTTTAACCTGTTTAGTCTGTCAGTTAGACAACTGGGCAGTCTTCAGTTTGGGCCATCATAAACAACGTGTCAGGCTTCAAGGAACGTATTAGTAACCATTTCATGTGAGCAGTTTCTTTGAGGTGGGTTTTAAAGGCACTTGAGACGTCTGGTTCCTACCACCACTGCTGTGAACCATTCCGGGTCAGCAGGTTGGTCTAAAACTGTGAAATGTTTAAGAATGGGTTCTTTGAGGGTTCTTTAGTGAAAGCATTCATGACAAAGAACCATCTGAATGGTTAAATAGTTCTTTGCATGGTTAAATGGTTCTTCTTTATGATGGCAAAACTGATATCTGGTTCTTTAAAGAACCTTTTCTATATAGCACCAAAGTATCTCTACACATCACCAAATAGGACCTTTTTGGTACTACATAGAACCATTTCTGCTAAACTTGAACACTTAAAAAGATGGTTCTTCAGTAACGGTAATGGTTCTGTTTAGAATCACACGCTCTACATAGAAAGAGATGTTTAATGCTTAAAAGGTTCTTCACATGGCGGAATGGTTCTTCAGATTGAGAATGTGTTTGTTTATAGCACCAAAAAGGGTTCTTCTATATAGAACCTTTTCCAGAAAGGTTCTACAGCACATTCTCCATCAATCTGAAGAACTATTTCACCATGCAAAGAACCATTTAAGCATGGAATGGTTGTATACAGAGCTCAAGGTTCTACACAGAACCACTGCCTTTACTGAAGAACCATCTTAAGAGTGAGGATAGCAGCACTCAGGGAATCAGGCTTTCGTTCATTTTAATCATGCAAACTGTAATATCGACTGTTTCGATACATCAAAAAAAACAATATCGCGATACTGAATCGTATCCATACAGCCTCACTTCTGGATCTACCTTTGGACGGAGCCATTCCGCGATAGATGTCCCGCACCATCTCCGCCGTCTCCTCGTTGGCCTCTCTGTTGATGTCCCACAGCACCAGGGTGGCTCTTCTCCGGGCGAACTCGGTCGCGAAGAGCCGTCCAAGTCCGCTTCCAGCCCCGGTGATGACACAGACCTGCCCCTCCACACTCTTTTCCCGGGGCTTTACGAGCCACTTGGCCCCGGCCAACACGAACGACCAAATGACTTTAAAGGACACCACGAGCAGCTCGGCGACGATGTACATCTCGAAGACTATAAACAAACCCTTTAAACGCCAGCAAAGGCACCACAGGTAAGCTAGGTCCGGTACGAGCGAGCTCACTGACTCAAACCCCACAGTCTGCGCTGCAAAAGTGCACTAAAGTCAAAGCTGAGCTCAAATATTTCTAAAGAGAGCCGAGGAAGACGACTAAGCTCAGCACCAACACAGTTCAGCGCGTCTTCTGCTCCAGAAAAGCAGCGACGTCCAGCTTATAACACATGCCTGTTTTGCGTAACCATAAACATGAGATTCGTGACGCAGACTTTGAGCCCGTCCTATCTGATTTACATCTCGTGCGGAACGGAGTCCGTAGCCCGCGATGGTTTGTAGATCTGGGAAACTTCACAGCGCGACAAAGCATCCTTTATCAAATCGAACAACACTCCCATTGGATCATTTTGAATGTTAATTCACAGTCGAATTAATCCATTTGCTGTTTAAGAGACAGAATGACCGTCAATTCCTAAAAAATCAGGCAGTGCAGAAGCGACCAAATCCTGACCGGAAGTTTCGGGTCTGTATAAGAGGTCTGGTGCGCATGCGTGAAACCCTCTTTCACTGTGGGGATAATGGCGGGCGAAGCGTAAGTTGGATGTCTCGTCATCTAAATCGTTTAACATCGGCGTCGTCGCTGTTCGTTTTGGCTCGTTCGCGGACTGAATGTACAGTAGAAGCACTCGTACACTCTGTGAAGTGGAAATTCGGGGGCTTTGGCGAATATAAGATGTGCTGGGGTTGGTGTAAAATATCACGGGTGTTTGGCTCAATGAGGCGATAGCAGCGTGTGGTAAAATGGCCTGGAGCTGCGTGTTCAGCTGAGTAAACGTCCATATTTGGGCGATATGAGGAATAAAGCCTGTGTTTGGGTGCCGATATCGGTTACTACAACCTGATATTGGGGATACGAGCGAATCTTGAGTGCTATCTGTACAGCAAAGTAGCTGTTTAACTAGGTGACGCTGCTAGCTTAGCTCGGTGAACGTAGCCGGGTCCAGAGTCACTGTAGCTGTTCTTGCTGATGTTTCTGAAGTCTTGTGCTGTTTAACATTTGGAAGAAAAGAGTGACCACACGACTTTGTCCGGTCAGATGATTTGAGTGCTTTACAACCAAGTTAGCACTTGTGAATTGGCTCTCCAACTGCTTCAGTCTTGGCTTTGCATCCTCCGCTCCTGCGTGTTTAACTTAAGTGTTCAAGACTTTTGCTTCAAGGCATTTCATCACGTTTCAGCTACATAAGAGTAGAATGGAGGTGTTGGGGCAGGAAAGCACAGAAATGCTCTTTTAGTCCGTGAAAAGCATCAGTCTAACGTTGTGTAACATGGCTAAGTAGCCACACTGCAGTTGCTATAGTGTGGTCGTAATTAAAAGGGGAGTTCCACCAAAATATTCCGATTTCTGCCTATTTCTAGCGTTGAGATGCGAGTCATCCAGAGTGGTTTGATGTGAAATGGTGCTTTGTGGAGAAACATGAATTTCTTCGCAGTGGTGGTGTTGAGAAGCAGAAGATGTAGCCCAAATAACGCCGTCATATAACCATGTTATTTACAAAGCTGCTTGCAAAAAGAGCCAATTCTGAAAAACTGACTTTTTTTTTTTCCACTTACAGCATCTGTGTACATCACCACCAAAAATGGCTTTTAAACATGTTTTAAGCTTCAAACTGATTGTAAACCAGTTTCTCAGGATTTATATAGCATGTATTTAGTCAATACACACAACGTTCTGTGAGCTTTTGGCGGATTTAAATACTTAAGACGTCTGTTACCCATCACCGCTATGAAGAGTCATTGGAAAGATTGGCACAGAGCATCTGTCAGTTGACTGTCTTAACAGCTAAAGAGTTCGGCAGAATTCAACATTAATGCATTTGATTGGCAGCTTAAGCTGTTAGTCTGACTTTGTAAAGTCTTAAAAACTGATGTGACAAACTTTTTTTTTTTTTTGGCTTTTAGAGAAAAGAAGGTTCCCTCAGTCCCCGAAAGCCTCTTGAAGAAGAGGAAGCGCTATGCCGTCGTCAAGGCCAAGCGCATCAAGGCCCAGCGGGTTGAGAAGAAGGTTAGTAGCTCAAGCAGCGATTCTGTGTATTCAGACGTGAGTGCTGTCTCTCGAATCTGTGGAAGCTGATTGTGTTGCTCATCTGCTCAGGCCCGCAGAGTCACAAGGAAGCTCATCCTCAAGAGAGCGGAGAGTTATCACAAGGAATACAGGGAGCTGTACAGGCGCGAGATCCGCCTGAACAGGATGGCTCGCAAAGCAGGCAACTACTACGTCCCCGCCGAGCCCAAACTGGCTTTCGTCATCAGGATCAGAGGGTGAGGACTTGAGCAAAAGGCTTTGTAGTCTGTTATTTGAGTATTTCACCCAAAAATGCTACTCTGGCCAGCAGTAAACGAGTTTATATGTGGTCCATGATACAGATCAGGCTGTGTTCTTACCTGGCTTTTTTGGGTGAAGTTTTCATTTAACTTCTTATGTTATCATACAGTGGTTAATGATGTAGCTCTTTTTTCCCCGTCTTATCGACCATGGTGATTTCTCTGAAATTAAGCCAATTCCTCTGAATCCACTCTGTTGCTTAATGGTGATGCTGTCTCCTTCTGGTAAACTGTACTAATGCAGTTTGCTTCTTTTCATACCAGTATCAACGGTGTCAGCCCTAAAGTGCGTAAAGTGCTTCAGCTCCTGCGTCTCCGCCAGATCTTCAACGGTGTCTTTGTAAAACTCAACAAGGCCTCCATCAACATGCTCAGAATTGCAGAGCCCTACATCGCTTGGGGGTAAGGAAGATCGTTTTATTAGCATTATTATTCAGGGATGTAAAAATATATCGATATGAAGGCGTTGAATTATGAGTATAATTATTAGAATATGAAAATATGAGAATATTTCACTTTTTTTAGTGTTATAGAACAGGTAGTTTGTAGTGGTAATCAGTAAATAATTAATTCATTGGTTTAGCCCAAAAAATTCTTGTGCTGTTTTCAAAGGTAAAAATGAGAAAATGCTTAATACTTAATCCTGAAGAAAATGAGATTTCATGAATAATGTGGATCTAGAGAATGAGAGGCGCTGATTTACATGTGTATATAAGCTACTGTAACTATTTTACTATACACTCTTATATGCTACAAATAAGCCTCTAGACATTTAGTTGTATGACAGGGCTAAATGGTTGTACTGTTTATTGTTTATGCAGATATCCCAATCTGAAATCTGTGCGTGAGCTGATCTACAAGCGTGGATATGGCAAGATCAATAAGCAGCGCATTCCTCTGACAGACAATTCGCTCATTGAGAAGAGCCTTGGTAAGTATCCTGTTCATAAAATGTCATGTCTCCCAGTGGCGCTTACTGTATGGCAGTTACTTTGACTTTCATATTATTGGTAATACAGGCTAAAGGCGTTGAGACGTTGTGCCCTTAATTTGAATTTGAGATTGACTCGAGCTGGTTTACCGGATAACTGGAGACAAAAGTCAAGCCTGTTGGGTAGGAGGTGAGGAGACGTTTTTGTTAGACGTTCCCTCGGTTTAGGCTTAAGCCGTCCATCTTTACTGTGTAAACTTGAAATACTCTTCAGTTCAGGTGCGCCAAGTTTAATGCGTTTAGCCTTTTTACCCAATTCATCTCAAACGAAAGGTCCATAATGTGCCGTGCTTTTCTTCCCAGGTCGCTCTGGAATCATCTGCATTGAGGATCTTATTCATGAGATCTACACTGTTGGAAAGAACTTCAAAGCTGCCAACAACTTCCTCTGGCCATTCAAGCTGTCCTCTCCTCGCGGTGGCATGAACAAGAAGACCACTCACTTTGTGGAGGGAGGAGATGCTGGAAACCGTGAGGACCAGATTAACAGACTGATCAGGAAGATGAACTAAGACCACACATGGTGAGCTTACTCATCAGAAATCAGATTTACTGTACATCAAGTAACACAAAACCCTGTTTCAGCACATGAGTATGTGAAGAGTGGAGCTCAATGTTCTGTAATCATTTCGGTCGCAGTTCTGTTTCCCACTCATTGCTTGCTCACCTGAGAACGTCTGCTTGTCAGGTTAAGTACAGTGTGTTTTACACCAGCTGTTCCTTAGCTGCAGCACTGACATGCGGTGCACTCCTGTGCAAACGTAGATGTTTATAGAATCCGCAAGCGACCGAAATGGATGTGCGAACTAAGCACAACTTTAAGCTTCCGGTTTGTATTTTATTTTGATTTTTGTCACAATGTCACTAGAAGCATGTACCAAACACTCATGGCGTTAATTAATCACTCGTAACTGGAGTGTAAAAACACGTGACGCAGAAGTTCCATTTTGCCATCGTGCTTCTGTGTGTAAAATAAGCTTATTAGTGTCATTAAAGAATAAATACAATAAAGCCATCACACTATTTCATACCCAGAAGCAACAAAGTAGATTGGCCAGAATTTGTAGTAGATTAATAGCAGTGGTTCCCCCTGGGCCCCCAGACGGTCCACGTTTTTGTTTGTCTCAGCTCCCAACACATCAGAAGATAAGTGTACTGGTATACTTCTTCATTCAGTATCAGTTGTCCTAACTGTTATACTGACTTGCCTCAAATAAGTGCATATAAACAGTGCAAGCCATGGTAATGTTTTCCATGTAGCTGAGTGGCTGGCATGTTTTAAACAAACCTGAAAACTGAGGAACCGCTGCAGAAGACTAAAGAGCTAATTGATCTAAAATGTCTATGATCAGTAGAGCTGGGGGGCAGGAGGAGTGCTGGGGTGAGTTGTTGATTAATGCTAGTGGTTTGCAGACTTTAGTGTTCAAACAATTCGACAGCACAACGTCCTGATTATGACTGAACTGTTTATAATTGTCCACACCTCAATTTAAACCTCAATTTCTTGGCTAAGAAGACCAGCATAAGCTTTTTCTGGCTTGAGACTTGAACTCTTACCCCAGAGCGCCAGCCTGCCAGTTATTTGTAGTTGTGAAGGCGCAGCAGTTCACAAGCTCTGTGTTCTTAGGTGAAAATTCCATACTGAAAACTTGCTTATCAGTGTTTGCATATAAAACCTGTATCATCGTTGATGAGACTAAGACTATAATAACTGCAGCTCTTATGATTAAAAAAAAAGTTGCACTCGCAAATTGGAATTTCGATATAAAATCAATATTTCGGCCCTAGTCCTGATGCATTCTTACACCTGTGTTCGGCTCATGGGATGAAGTGGTATGGAGTCGCTCTGTGGTCGTTAATGGTTTGGTGTGTTAATTTATGTCCTGTCGCTAAAAATAGCCATTAATAATCCATTAACAATTCGACCACACACACACACACTCAACATACAGGCCATTCAACATACAATTTCTACCTGATCAAGGTGGGTAATCCTGTAAATAATCTAATAATATCCGTCTAAACGCCTGTATCTGATTACATTCCCTATCGGAAAGTTTGAGTCCGTTCTGATCATGTTCGTCACGTCACAGTGAAAGTTTATACCGTTCAACATGGCGGAGCAGAAACTGGTCTGAGGAGACGAAGTTTATGCTCTGGTCTTTAAAAGACGGCGGTGGGACGGACGTCCAGCTTATGTGTCTCAGAACACGACGTCTTCCTCTCGGCCTTCTTTAATAAGGACATGTGAAGGATGTTTTCCTGAATTGCCATGATTTTGAAGTAAAAACACGCGCATCTCTCTCTGAGTGGATGCAGGGGATGCTCGTTGTCATGGTAACGTCTACACACTATGCGTGTGTGGGTTTTTGGATTGGATTACTTGTAAATAGCATGTAATGGATTTTCCATCACATTGTTGAGTAGAGTTTCGTATAAACTCTTCACTCTTAATCTATAATTCGAATGTATTAGTCATGTTTGCATCCTGGCATCTACCTTGCTAACTATGTACGTTAGTGCCGTTTGACCCATCATGCTTGGATACACGGAATCCTAGAAATGTCGTTTAGCTTCAGCAAAAGTACATTTCGCCTCTTAATGTATTTGCCTTGTTCCAACCATGAAAAGGTGTAATAAGGATGGAACCACAAGACCCAAAGGTGCTAAAAAATGGACAAGCAGTCTTTAAATAAAGCTTGGACAGGCCCCAAAGCACGGAGCTCCTGGAGTTTTTATGTATTAATTGGTAGATTCTGCAAAATATACAGCTTGAAAATTGAATAATTCTCGTCTTTGTGGATTGTGAGCGCAACTCCACCCCAAAAGCTGGTCAAATGAAATGAACTCCACCTGCGTCAGTGTGCTTAATGAAAGGTTTCATTTAAGCAGCCGTAATGCTGACAAAAGGTTTTCACAGCACGGTTAGTCATAATACTTGGGAAATGTCAGTGACTACAGCAGTTTGGAGGGACTCATCTTTTCCCCAACGAAAAACCTGTTTTGGTGCAGCCAGCATATCTTTCAGTGAGTCCTTGACATTTACTGCAGTGGCTCAGAACTGGCTTCTGTTCTTTGTAGCAGAATGTTAAAGGGACACTCCAGTGTTTTACCATTGATAAGGATTTTGATTATTTTCCTTGTAGTTTAAAAAAAGGAAACTTAAAAATAGATGGCAGGTGTTGAAGCCGTTTTTTTCCCCCTATGTGCAGGTAAATGAATCAGATTTGTGGTGATACAGAACCAGCAGATAGAAATTATGCTGTAAAAAATGTAGTTCTTTTAAAGTGCTGATGGTCACTTGGAAAAAGTTTTCTAACTGAAGACCCTTTTTTTCTTTGCAGGTGCACCGGGACGTTTTTCCATCAAAAGTCAGAATAAAACGTTTAATACACACCGTCTGTTTCATTTGTTTTCCTTGGGTGTTCAGTAAATGTGGTGCTGTTCAGTGATGCACGTCACACATCCAGCTCCATTATAAGATGGATGACGCTACCTAGTGGTCAGAAACATCACTGAGGAATAGTGATGCAGGCATTGCCTGTGTTTTGCTCAGAAAAGTCAGTTCAAAAGGTGAAGTATAATTTTATCAGCTACTCAACTTTCTGTAACCGCATGTTTCTAGCGGCGCTGACGCGACTGCACTTATGTGGTTTAACATAACGGCTATTTAGCTCCTTTTAGTTGATTTAATGGACTGCAAAGTGTGATGGAAATGCATTTCATGTTAGCTTAGTGCAGTCGTTTTTAGAGAATTTTGACTGACGCTAATTTGCTCGACAAGAAGCCTCAGATTAGGTTACAAAAACCTCCTGGTTCTTTAAACCAGCGCAGAGCAATTGAGACACTTCACTTTTGAGCTTTGTTGGCAGATTTATATCATCTGCTGTATTGGTGTCGCACACCACATCAGTTTTGGCAGTGTTGTGCGAACGCCAGGTAAACCGCAGTGTATATATAATTCATAGTCAGCTGTGGGCTGTTCATAATATTTAACTTAAATAGTGGGTTTCTTCTCTAAATGTGCTTTGTTGGTTCAGTGTTTACTGTCCAAGGCTCCCTTTGGTGAAATTTAATTTGAAATATGTAATATTTATATTATATAATATAAAATAATATATTTTAAAAATTATATAATATTTACCTTTGAAATCCTTGAGGTGGACCCAGTCATTCAGAGTGGTTTAATATGAAATGCACTGTCTTACAGAAACTCACTCTGAATTCCTCACAGTGATGGGAACCAAATATATCCTATATATATATATATTGTGTTCAGTACCTCTACAGCGGGGGGGTTCATGTGAGATGCCATTGAAAGTCTTCGTTACCTGAATCAGGTGAATTAGATTAGGATTGGAGCTGAACTCTGCAGGGTGGTACATCACCTGGACCTGGACTGGGCACCCAGCACTAGGCCTGCCTCACAAAGGTATTGGGTGTAACGGTTATTAATATGTTGTTCAATGCCAAAGGTATTTTTGGGTTTTGGGGGGAAAATACACGTATGTATGTGTGTGTATGTATATATATATATATATATATATATAATATACCCACATGCAAGTCAAAATAGTACTTTTTTTGTGGGGGTGTGTTTATACTATTTTAACATTCACCATCACATCTGAAAACTAAGACATGAAGGTTAATAGGCTTTTAACTTTAACCTTTATTTTCAACTAACCCTTCCTGTCACCACCACTGATTTTCTCATCGGTTAACCATTTTACACCTGAACACTCCAAATGGCTTTAACATTTCGTGGATGAATTCTAAATTTTGAAAAGTTGGTGGAATTCCCAATTAAGAGCGAACAACTAGACTATCCAATCAAAACAAACTCAGGTTTCTAAGGGACCCATATCATGGAAAAGCCGAATTGTCCTTGCTTTTAAGAGTTTAATACAGTTTTTAAACATGCTGGTCACTCCCCAGTCCATTTGGTCCACATGTGGAGACCAAGTTGTGAAAACAGCTGGTTTTGAATTCATTGTTTTAAGTCCTAAATACCAGTATATGCACCTAGTTTAGCCCCGCCCATTCATGTTGAAATTATAAGGAGCGTTTCAGCCTGGACTGTTTTTTGGAAGGAGGCAGAAACAGAACAGGGGTCAGTCTTAAAGGCACAGTAACAGAAACAGCCCGTTTAAGGGGCTCCTTTACACATTATCACAGAACATCAGCACTCAGGAAGCGTGGGCTCATTAACGCAGACTGAACTATCATCCAATACTGTGATGTGTTTGGGAAATCAGTGGTGTCCAGCGTTTTAAGTACCACTCAGTGTACTATGTTAAATAATGGATTCAGTTGCACAGTCCTGTACAAACACATTTATTTGGTCTTTTATGGTAGTTTACTGTGTTTGAAACAATCCAGTCACTATTTTCAACTTAATTGTACAATAGAAATTACTACTTGCCACTGCCACAAAACTACCAACTGAACTTCAGGAAAGAAAAGACATCAGCATGAGAGATAAATGCAGAAACGACAGCTTCCAGTTTGTCATGTACACTGTACTCTACATTGTGCAGGTTATATATCCATTATAGGAGGTTTTGACCTCCCGTTATGGCTGATAGAAGGAAATTTGCATTGTAAATATGAAGACTAATAGTTGATTTTCCTCGGGATATGTGTTGAGCTACGGTTTCCCTTCCCTGACATCGATACAACGAATACATGAGACGTGTTGCAAAATAAAACAACTGTCTAAAAAGAAGCCATGATATTAGTGCTTTTCAAGTTATAATACAAAACCTGAGAACTCAATTGTACTTGCATATTTTACTCTATAAAAAGTAGAATTTTCTGTACAGATACGAACAAAGCCAAATATCTTAACGCCTTCTCATAAATATTTATGAAAAGGCACGCATAATTTAATACTTGAAGCAGGAATTATGATCCTGCCAAAAGTTTCTCTTTATCACTTTTCACAAGCAAGAATTTCTGTGATCAGTACTTTAGTTGTTGCAGACTGCAGACTGTCACGTATATACAGTTTGAGTAGCCCCCAAAAATATTTAACTCTGTTGCCTATGAAGAAGCGTCTGACTTGTGAAGTTTTTCTACTGTATGGCAGTCATTTCACACACCGGATAAAACTACATTACCAACAAAAACACATTCATCCCACAATGAGTATCTTCACCAACTCGTGCTGTCTTTTGTATATATAAATATAAAGTGCCATTCTCTTTGCTCCAGCAGAGGGCGCTGCTGTCAAACGCTGGATGCTCTCCTAATTCCTAATCAACTAGTTCTTTCCCAGATGTTTGTGAATAAAAGGCAACACAAATTACAGCAATGATCTTCTCGCTTCCAGAAAGTCAGGACTTTGTCCACAGTGTTTATAATGTGCTGGACAATCGTTATAATTTGCACGTGCACCGTTTCCACCGATGAACAGTGGAACCGGACGTGTGTAGACTAATATATGCTGAACATATGAAGGCTAACATGCTAACATAGATATCTGAAAGATAATGTTTTTGTTTTTCTTCTTTTTGGTTTCTACACTCTGCCTCGGGGACTTAATGACTTGCAAAGAGCATGCAAACTACCTGCCACCTATTCAGGGAGGTGAATTCTGTATTTTGCCTGAAATCTTGCAACTGAGGCATAACACAGCATGAACTCACCAAATAAATTCATGAAGGCATATATTCTGAGCACTTCAGTGCTCAAATTCAAGTCCTGTTAACTCATTTTGCATACAGTGGCAGCACTTTGAGTGTGAATGGATTACTAGTGAACCCAGCATAAACAACCTTGCCTGCTGTTTGCATCAGGCCGTGACGGAAGCCATTTGTGGATGCTTACCTCATCCAATCAGTTGGGTGGAGACCTAATATGTCAGGCTTATCACTGGCAACAAGTCTGCTTTATCATACTCTCTTTGATCAACCTGGAGAACAACACCACGGTTTTCAGACTTGCCGATTCAAAGAACTGAAACATTAAAAAAAGAAGAATGAAGAAGATTAATGTTCATTATTGTCCTCCCTTCCTGTAATAATTAGACAGGCTAGCACACCAAACCGTTCAGGTGTGTGTAACCTGAGTCCCTTTCTCTGCAAAAATGCAGTCCCATCAAGACTCTGACAGATGGACATGTCCTGCCATGCAAGCTAAAGAACGTCCTCTTCGCTACACCGGAACGTCGATGTGCCTCTTCCAGTGCTTATTACTTGATTAATAAATGTCAGTCCATGTGTATCTACTAAGGTAGCCACCTCTGTTAGCATCACATGCTAGTTTCGCATGGCGGGGAAAGGTTTCCGTCCCCTGTCTGTTTGAGGATATCTGGCGAGAGGAGGTGGTTGACGACCTTCTGTCCACTTTGACTGCTTTCTGAATTTCCCTCCATGCTGCTGCCACCGGTAATGCCAGGCGAACAATTCAGCGCAGTCTTAGGTGAAGCGGGAGACACCGTCGCTGACCTTTCAACATGATTCTTCCCTCTCTGGCTTTCGCCGGAAGATGGGACGAAACCCGGGGACCTCATTGATCCTTCCACTTCGAAACCTCTCCCTGGGGACCTTGGGCTTTGCCAGGATTGCGGCGTAAGTGTCGCTGTGTCTTCAGTAACCACTAGATGCAGGCTAGACGATCCTTCCTCTCCAGATTCACTCAAATTGACTTTAAGCCCCTTGGCTTTGATGGGGTTGTTTGGGGTTGCTCTTGGAGAACTCTTGATGTTTTCGCTGCTCATGTCAAAGCTTTGGTTCTCCTCCCCTTGGGATAGAGTGCTGCTCTCTGGCTTGTACTGGACAAACTCGTAGAGACCCTCTTTGATGATGGTGGGCTGCTTTGCCTTTTCAGCTGCCCGTGTATCCAGGGCAGAGATCTGGCTGAGATCCAGAGGAGGCGGGGCACGGGGGTGTCTTGATTGCATCCCAGTCACATTGGGGAGTAGGGCGGTTTTCTCAACTTCGCTAACGTCTGTGGTGCAGCTTGCGAAGCTGTCAATACTTGACAGGCTCCTAATGTCGGTGATAGGGCAGTCTTTAAGCACAGGCTCTGAGTGAACCACCTTCATCTCCAGCTTCTCTTCCCTGCCCATCCTACTGCCCCCCTTTGGAACCAATGCACCAGTGCTTGCAGCGGCAGGAGCAGTCGTCATCTGGTTGTACATCTGTTCCAGAGACTTGGCGTTCAGCCGTTGAGGGCTTGACCCTGCCTTGATTGCTCGTTCTGGAGATCCCAGCTGTACCACTTCCTGATATTTTGCATCGTAGGGTTTGGTGATGGAGTCTGTGCTCTTTTGATAATTCCATCTGTTTGGAGAAAGGTGATTGTCGGAGGGCTTTTCTTCAGTCTTTTCGATCACCACATCCATCAGCTCCATGTTACGAACAAAAGAATCCTTCATGTTCATTGATACGATGCTGCCGTTCCTCTTGGCCCTCTCCAGTGCTTCTCTGCGCTTGATGGCCTTTTCTTGCCTCTTCTGCTCTTTGTAGAACTCCGAGAAGTTATTCACAATGATGGGGATGGGCAGCGCAATCACCAGCACACCAGCAATACAGCAAAGCCCACCTACTATTTTACCTAGAAGGGTTTGTGGATAGATGTCTCCGTAACCCACTGTTGTCATTGTAATCGTGGCCCACCAGAACGATGCTGGAATACTGGTGAATTTTGTTGCATCTTCATCTTTCTCAGCGAAGAACACCAGACTAGAGAAGATCATGATTCCCATTGCTAAGAACAATATCAGCAGGCCCAGTTCGTTGTAGCTCCTTCTGAGAGTGAAGCCCAAAGACTGAAGGCCTGTGGAGTGTCTGGCCAGTTTCAGGATCCTGAGTATTCTCATGATCCTGAATATCTGGACCACTCGGCGTACGTTCTGGAACTGCAGGACACTCTTATTGGACTCTGTAAGGAATATAGTGACATAGTAGGGCAATATGGCGAGGAGATCGATGACATTCAGAGGACCTTTGAAGAACTTCCACTTGTTGGGCGAGGACAGGAAGCGCAGAACGTACTCCATTGTGAACCACGCTATGCACACAGCTTCTACATGGGCAAGGGTGGGGTTGTCATTCGACTGTCCAAACTCATCAATGACTTGTAATTCAGGTAAAGTGTTCAGTGACAGGGCAATGGTGGACAGAATGATGAACAGGATGGATATTATGGCCAGGATCTGAAAAGAAAAGATAGAGAAATAAAGTTTAATAATGTTACTACAACAAATTTTCTTGCACATGTGCCTTATTAACTCCTTCATACATACATAAAATGTCATCGAATGTCAAAAGAACAAAACATAGACCCTATTATTTTTCGTTTCCACCATTGTTTTCATGCTGATCACATAAAAAAGTGATTATTTTAGCAAACGTACAGTACAAGATATAAATAAAGTTTGACAAATTTCTCTAGTCATTGTAGAATCTTGTACAGTTCTGTTGATTGAGGACATCTAATATTTCTTAATTTTTATCTACAGCTTCCTTGTGTCCTAATAATTATCTGAAAGCTGTGAAGATCCACAGGACTAGCATATTAAAAACCTTGTATACGGGTATCTGACGCCAAACTGGTTTGATATTATTGAAAACATTGGGCCTCACCAACCGTTCTTAAGAAGAAATTTCTTCTTAAAACCCACTTTCGCAGTAAGATTGTGATATTCAACAATGTTTTCTTGTTTGGGATTTATTCTTAGGTAAGAACAGAATCTACACACACCTTACTAGGATATTGCTGAATAAGGCCCATTGATTCCAAACGTAAAAAGACATATGTGCTCATAATTTGCTTCGCACAAAATATACAATAAAAGCGAGGATGACACCAGCGTTCCCTTATCTCTATCAGAATCACTGGAGATGCACCGTGGGCTGCCTTATCGATTGTGTACAGATCTCCTCAGAGATACCTCTGGTGATGAGCACTGCCAAGCATTTATTGATCAGCTGCTTTGTTAGTTTATGGAATAGATGCCCTTTGAGGTTTTCTAATTTGCTTGACTGTGTAATCTGATATTCTGGATCAGACTTGGGTTCAGATCACATTTCACACCATTAAATCAATCACAGCATTATGGTGGAAGGCAGAACGCTTTTAGTTTAGTTTGAAGTATAGTTTAGGTTGACTTCACACAAAAATGCTGATGCTGGATTAAAGATAGGCGCCAGCCTATTAGCATGTTAGCATTAGCATAACAGGCCCATTTAATAACACTTCTGTAATAAGTTTTAAGCAAGGTACTTGTTATTCTGGTTAGGTATTGTGATTAATGGGTGAAGTTCAAAAACAACAGTAGTCAAATGTGCTATCTGGTAATGTTTTAAGGTCCATCAAAGGAGTAAATGTTCTCCGTAAACTACCTGTGGAGGAATAAGGCAGACGATTCATCTTGTTAAAATGCTTTAAATCTAATGACCATGGAAAATGATATTTCAAAGGCATTACGCTGCAGAATAGATTCGGAAAAACGGCCTTGTGGTCAGTATCGTAGATCATTAGGAGCCAGAAAATTGAACCTATAAGATGCCTTAAGTTTTCCAGAGATTTTGCCTGAGCGCTGCAACCGCTGCCTCCTGCTTTTCCCAGACCTTAATGACTAGAGTTTTATTACCTATCCATCTTACTCAGCATGCCATCCCCAAGAAAAACCCCTTGAAAACACCCACTATTATTCTGAAGTATCATTCAGACTGTTTAAATAGTGGCCTAGCAAGTTCATGATATTATCAATCTTGCTAATAAACCTCTGTGCTCCAGGCTCTGGGGAAGCCATTCATCCGTTTTCATTTTTCACTTTTATATGCCTTGATGAGGGGGTTTGGTGAGGATGCGTACGCACGCTGAATTCAGAATGCAGGGCGCGTCTGTGATGGACTATAAAAAGCGATGGCATTGAAGAGTGCTGTCAGTAAAACAAAGATTTCTCATTAGCAGTACGCACACGCTACCAGCAAAGCTAAGCTGAGCTGCGGCAGAGGGCCAGAAGGGTACAGTTCCATAACCTACAATATTCGAGCATAAACCAAGTCTATTGTTGGTTTTCAGCTTCACTCACAGAATAAAGATCAATACAACGAAACTGACGCAAAGAATTCCCTCGATTGAAGTGTCTACATAATTCCTGAGTTAATATATAACATCGGTACCACTTTAAACTAAGACTACTTTTATGAAGGGTTCATTATTTGGTTTACAATTAGCTTATTAATGTTTTTTTAATTAGGTCATAAAGACCTTAAAATCATTAATAAGCGTTTACAATACATAAATACAAAGGGCCACTTTAGATTTCGATCCTTACTGATCTTACTTTGTCTTTATCAGTCAGCAATAAGCCTGTCAGCTTAATCACAGGTCACTTTTGCCCTTTTTATTACTGTGTTATAACTGCTTATCAATGCTTTTTAAAATGCTTTTTAAATTAAAGAATGTTCTTCGTTTTTTTTCTGTAAAATTACCATTCTGGTTCAGACAGCGACGACATGTTTGTTTGTATGCGCCTGATAACAGCCTTCTCAGTCAGCACATATCACCTAATACATTCTAGGAAAACTAGCAGGAGCGCTAGCATCACCAAAAATGAGTAATCAGTAATTTATCAATTTTAAAAAGTTCAGTAAAGTCCTCTTAAACATTCAGGCCCAACAAAACAATTCTGACCTTGTAAAATGTATAAAAATAGAAAACATTTTTTCCTTTTTTTAACCCGAAAGGATAAAACCGTTGATTTCAGTGACTGAGGCTATCATGTGTAGATACTTTCTTAGAGACACTACAGTTCAAAAGTGGTTTCTGGTGACATAAAATCAACTGTGCTTCAGGTACATATAAAATATTAATATATTTTAGATATATTTTATGAACAGAGCTGTGGATGAAATTACTGTATATAGATAATTACAGTACATTATTCCTCCTTTAATTTTTTGCTGTTCCCCAAAAAGTATAAATATTAAATAAATATATTTAAAATAAATATATATTAAATATAATAATCATCTTAAAATGCCTTCTGGCATAATAATATTAATAATAATTAAAAAAATGTCTTCTGGTGTCTAGCCTGTTATTGTTGTGTAAAATAACAGCAATTACTAAAATGATGATTCAAAACTTCTGACTGGTAGTATATAAAACATTTTAAAAATACATACTTACATATATAATGAGTACTTAAATAATATTTACTATATGTTATTACATATAGGCACTTACGTATAGGATATATAATGTATGTTATTAAATATAGATAATTACATCATAGAATACACAAGGGTCATATTATTGCTATATATATATATATATATATATACATATATATATATATAATTTACATATATAAATCTTTGATATATATAATTGTTATTTATAGCTGTGTATACACATATAATACATTACATATAGCTATTTTCATATATATATATATATATATATATATATTCACAGATATATAACAATTTATTATTTACAACATTATTACATATAGTATATATTATGTATGTTATTACATATAGATAATTACGTTATAGAATACACAAGGGACATATTATTGCTATATATATATATATATGTATATATATATATATATATATATATATGTACACACACACATATATACATATATATGGGATATAATACTATTACATATGGACATTTACATGCATCTGATACATAGAGGTATATTTTTGTGTGAAGCCATAATGAAATAATCTTTACATTGCGCTACAGTCATCATACAACTAAACTACTGACCACTGAGTCACTGGAAAATTTGTCAGTGTCTTTACACTAAGACACATTAATGGCTCAGCTGTTCTTAGACATGCAGACCTGTCTCGTACTACATATCGTGTTGCGCTTCAGCTTCCATAAGAAGTCACCGAATATAAAGGCCGTCTTATTAAGTGATTAATTTTCTGATTCAAATGAAAATCTCCACACGGAACCTCTTCATGATTCTTCCTGTGAGGTGGAAAGAGTGAGTAACCACTTCTAACCTTTCTGTATCCTCACTATAGATAGCAACTAAATCCTATTATTACAATTATCCCGAAACATCCGCCAGTGGAGAAGACAATGTGAGCACACTCACCAAAAGCCTGCACAGCTCACATGGAGGACGCACAAAAATGTTTCCACAGCATTTATATCAGCGTTATACATTATACTATGTATTACATAACAACAAACACTCTTTATAAGCGTTGGCTGGTCCTGGAGAAGGTTCGTTTCTAGGCTGCAGAGGACGCAAAGCCTCAGAGTGCCACGTGAAATCCTCTCCAGCAATGGCAACCACTGTCAGCTTTTCAAGGAAAGCCCATCAGACACTCAGGAATCTCGTAGATAGTCAGTGTGAGACAGTGTGAGTGCAAAGACACCCTAAATAATGTTTTTTATTTTTTATTTTCAGCAAAGCGTTAGCATGCAAAGATGCTAAAATGTTCTGTATTTTTGCTTATTTCTTATTCAAACTGTTAGTTGCCTATTCTCAGTTTCTATTCTGTTCATTTTAGTTGACAAACAGCATTTTTATACTTTTTTTCTTGTTTGTTTTCATGAACATGAGTGAATCAAAAGAACTTCAGAAGTGGGCGACTTAAAAAGACATCAGATAACAAAATCAGTTCAAAGGAAGTTTGAAAAGAAGCCAACTTGAATGTGCAAAAGCATCAGCCAAGGTTTGTGGCACCATGTGACGTAGATGGAGGATTAGCATGGCTATCTGAATTGGCAGCCATGGTGTGACGCAGGCACCGTCCCTGCAAGGTAGGACTGAGCTGATGGCTGTCCGTGGCCAATAAGAGGCCTGTCCAGGTCAGAGGTCAGCAGCGAGGTAAAAAAAAACTGCCTGCAATTCGCCACGGTGATGGACACTCGGGTTGATAAGGGCAGGAGCGACAACTTCCTCTTTAGATGCACATGAGGACGATGTTTAAAGTGAAAGAGAAGCTCAACAGTCGAAAGTTGTCACTGTTTGTGACTCCAAAATGGTGTAAAACTCTACAGCGTAAAACTGGACGAGAGAAACTAGACTGCTAATGTACAGTGGCCTCAAAAAATGTTTGGACTTTTGTGCCAAACTAAAATATCGCTGCTGTCAGGACGAAACCTTGTATCTCGTTTTTCAGTTTTTGGCATAATCTGAAAATGTCTGTTGCTCTTTACATGGTG